TATGTGGTGAGCGTGTAGGGTAAAGGTTGCCTAAGTGTAAATTAAGGCAAAATTTGTCAAATAACAGAATGGTTGAGTTTGGCAGGGACCTCTGAAGGTCATCTGGTCCAACCTCCCTGCTCAAGCAGGATCATCTAGAGCTGGTTGCCCAGGACCATGTCCAGATGGCTTTTGAATATCTCTAGGGATGGAGCCTCCACAATGTCCCTGGGCAACCTGTGCCAGTGCTCCGTCACCTTCACAGATGTTTTGTCACAGGCAGTGTACAATATTGTACAATATTGTGCAATTGAAATTGTATTAACTATTACTTGATCTGTTTTACAGTTTAGGTTACTATAAGATCGTCTCAACTTGTGTGAACATTTCAGCTCATTTTTGCGATCTCTCAGGGGAAATACATGGGCCTTTTACCTCTCACTGGCTTCGAGTTAAAGCTGTCATTGGGTCACAACAGTCTGAGTATGTTGAGACAGATGAGTTTATTTTGCAGAAGCATGGTAAGTTCCATCATAAACTAAACCCTGTAATTTTTTCCCCAAATTTAAAAAGTTAGTAATTATCCTTTTCACTGTATTACTGTCTCATTTGGGAATAGTCAGGAGTCCAGGATGAAATGAAACATGATGGTTGTTCAGTAGGAACTTCTGTAGTTCTGCCTCCGTAGGGACTTGTTAGCCCTGTCACTGTGGTATCTGAATACTTTTTCAAAACTTCTAAAGGCAAGAAAGTGATGCTGATGGTGCCCTCTATGCATCCTTCCCACATTCTTGCCTGGTGTCCCAGACACCAATTTAGGGCCAATTTAGGAAACTGCCACTGAAAGCTGTGGACCTTTAGGCATCATTGAAGTAGTATTCAGGTGGTGGTGGTTGGTGATACCTTGCTTGACACTATAATCCCATGTGCTGACAGCTTTGGGTGTCTAGATACTGTCTAGAAGCTATGGGAGTCCACTGTAGCTGGATAACTAGGTTACTCATTATTCATGTAAATCCTTTGGGCTGCTTTGGGAGAAATCACAATTTTTCACATTGATACTGTAAAAGTAAATTGTGTGTCTAGACTCCAGTCCAACCTGTCCAAAACAGTGGGGCAGGCCCCAGCATTGCATGGGCAGGACACAGGAGAGTGAGGAAAGACTGAGAGACTTCCTCTTGTACTTGCTCCATTTTCAACATATAGCTTTCAAGGCAGGACATTGTCCGTGAGATTCTCCCTGACTTGGGCTGTGCTATAGATAGAGATGGATTTCTGCATTGCTGGAGCTGAAGAAGTGGAGGCCCCTTTGTTTTCCGCTATGATTCCCTCCTCACCCAATACTCCCATGACTTGGAATCAGTGGCTGGTTTCTAGTGTTTGACAAAGGGACAAAAGTCATGGTAATAATGCTGAGTTTGGCAGTTTGCAGAAAATTGATAGCCATGTATGGAGGAGAGAGACAAAATCATTTTCCCATTGAACAAGAAACTCATATGTTCAGTCAGATCATTAGACACCAAAAATTCATGTGGGCCATTGCCAAGGGAAATCGGGCTTCCTAAGTACTGTTGCTCAAGATGAGATTTGTTTAGATTTTCAGATAGCCTGTGTTTCAGTACAGTATTGTTTTTAGCTGAGTGTGATTTATGGTGGGATCTAGTCAGAAGTATTTTGCGTTCTGTTCTCACTCGCGTGTATATGTTTAATTGCTTTGTTTTTTCTGTTGTCAATGAGCTGAATTTTTATGGCCTTATGTGTGTAGGAAAGTTGGATTGCTTAACAGTGAAATTCTGCACGGACAATCTCTGTTTCCATTTTAGAAGCAGATTCATGAATGTATCCAAATGCCTCTGTTACTTCTAAGTGTCACAGCTGTGTGATAAATGATTTCATCATTGAAATTGATGAAATAAATGATTTTTGAATAAATAAATTAAATTAATAAATAAATCATTTCATTATTTAAGTGATTTCATCATTGAAATAAACATGTAATTCTTATCAAATCTCTGATTAATTTTGGAAAGCTAACTATAAGTAGCATATTTTATGTTAAAAGCTTCGGCCTAATAGCAAAGGTGCAATGTGTTGCAGGAAAAATAGGACCACCAAAACTGAATCTCTCAAGGCATGGTGATAAAATCACGGTTGATATTTACCATCCTGCATTCCCATCTGTGAAGCTGCTTCCTTGGATTGGAGACATTTATTCAGAGATCAGCTACTTCGTGACTTTTTGGGATAGTAAAAATCAGGTAAGTCCCAAAATGAAAACTTCAAATTAAAAGTACTTGTTTACTTTAAACACATAAAAAAGGGGTTCACTCCTATGACACACAGAGCCAGCAGATATCAAGAATACAGTTGAACGTAACATAGGACTACTGAAGCCCTAAAAGGTCAAGCATGTCCCAATGAGATATGTGACTGAAAGGTCTGGATTTTAGTTGTCCAAATGGACGTCTTATAACAAAAATGAGATTATTGCATTAGCTGTACACAAGATAGTTACTTGATCCCATGCTATTGTTTCTGCATACATGCTAAACCATTGGTAACTTTACTTGTGCCCCTTTCACTTGGCTAGATAGACTTTTCATTTAAGGAGATTACTTTTCAAGATACTAATACCACTTTATTTAGCAATCATGGAGGGTGAACTTGAAGAAAATGATAGTAGGTATGTTTATTTACAGTTACCTTTTCATATGCATCCAGGAACAAGTTTTATAAGTGAATTAGAAATGCGAATCTAGACTATGAACAGCACAAATTTTAGCTGAAAGCACCATGGTCTGATCAAATATAACATCTTAAGGTAGTGCATAAGCTGATAGCCGAAGCTCACACAGCTTTTGCAAGGCATATAGATGATGTAGGAGCCACATCTAATAGTGTTTTAACATTTTTGGAAGTGTTGGAAGGTACTGTAACATTTGTATTGTTGTACTGAGTCAAATGATATAACGTGACTTCCATTTTTTGCAGAGTGAAGAAGTGTTCTCTGATGAAAACTGTACGCTGTATAAATGTAGCGTCAACATCCCAGTTCCCGCTGAAGTTTCCAAATACTGTGTTTCAGCAAAGGGAAGTTTATACGACAATCTGATGATTGGCGCCCCATCAGAAGAAAGCTGCATTCATGTTCCTCTCAAGGAGGCATTGAGTAAGCGGATTCTAAAACTTTAGTAAGAACATACTCAGTCTGACCAGAGATCTGTTCTAGCTAAGTATTTGAGCTCTGATACAGCCGTGGGATGGCTTGGATGCCTATGGGAGAATATAAAAACGGGAAAGCATGGTCATTCTTTTCCAAATGCACTTTTCCAGTTCTAAAGACATTTAAAGATGATGATTTTTTTTTTTGGGTGCTTTTCATGCTTCATTGGTATTACAAAACCTGTTTCCATTGCACCTGGTCATTGATGTAATTAACAAATGACGAATGGATCATTCACTGAGTTACGTAATTTTCAGAAGCATTGTCTCTTTCTTCTAACAAACGGCTTTTTGCTCAGTCTCATCACTGAGGAAAAGGTGTATAGACTTTCTTGAGTCTGAAGCAACTATAAACTTGTGGTCATAAAATTGAGGTATTGGCATCTTTTTCTTAATTAAAGAGAAAAAAGGCAGCTAGTGACCCAACTTCATATCTCTGATAGCCTCTTACAAACTTTTTAATGTTACTTCATTATGGCCCAAAACTTCACTAGAGAAAAGAGATAAAACTGATAGGAGCAGTTGTGTTCTTTCTTTTACGCACCAGAGCAGTGGTACGATTGAGGGGGAGGACAGTAAGGAGAGTCAGGCTAGTGGAATCTTACTAGCAATAGTTAATAAACCTATGTTTTGGAAGACATGACATTTTAATTTTATTGTACATAGACTATGTGTAATTATTATGTCAGTTAATATGCTATCACATGGAAAACGTACTGTTCATCCCCATCTGTCATCTCTAAGGAACAAAAACTTAGTTATAAAGTTCCTTTAGCTCTATAAAAATATGACTGTGTTTATATAAATTGAAAATCTTCTGTCATTCTAATTTTTATTTACTTGATATAATGCTTTATAAATTAAGTTTTCTTGAGCGAAAAAAGGTGCTAAATTGACAAATTCACACATGACAGCTAAGCATTCTGAGCTATTACAGTTTCTGAAGTTATTCTATGTGATACAACAGTGGCTTATTTTTCCAAACTTCCTAACAGATTTTGCTCTAACTTCTTAGGCACACAAGATCTTACCATCGTTCTGTGTGGTGTTATTCTGAGCGTGAGTCTAATTTTGACAGTATGTTGTGGCTGCAAGAAACTAAGGAAGACGAACATAAAGCTGCCTAAGTCTTTGGTAAGTTCAGACTTCCCATCTGCATCAGATTTTTAATATCCAGCTAGGTAACTTTTATAACTATAACATCTTTATGCCTGTGTCTTTTTTTTTTTTTTTTTTACCATGGTTTTGTAGATGTTTAGGATTTATACCAGTCTAATAGCCTGACAGCCTCTGCAACTAGATGCCTTGCATTTGTGTTACAGCTAGACTTCAGTCTCTTTGACTGAAGTAGCAGTCCTTGGTCTAGTTTGAGAACTTAGTTCTTAAAAACTCAATGTGTGTGTACATAGACAGGTTTGTATTCATTCTAGTGGCAGAGACACAGAACCACAGAATCGCTGAGGTTAGAGGAGACTTTTTGAGATCATCTAGTCCAACCCTTTTGCTCAAGCAGGGTCAGTGAGAGCAGGTTGCCCAGTTGGGTTTTGAATAACTCCAGGGAAGGAGACTCCACAACCGCTCTGGGCAACCTATTCCAGTGTTTAACCATCCTCACAGTAAAAATTTTTTTCTTACATTCAGATAAGATTCCATGTGTTTCAGTTTGTGCCCATTTCCTCTTGTCCTGTCAATGGACACCTGTGAGATTCCTTCATTACATGGTAATATCCTGATACTGCTAAGTGCTACAATGTTCTTAAAGTGATGGCAGAGTAAGGGGAAGGGGGGAGTAATAGTGCCGTAGGAAGAGGGAAGAACAACTAGGGGAAATCTGTTCTCACACTGAGCAGTCAAGGGAAGAGAGAGGTCAGCAGCTGCTCTACCATAAAAGCTCCTTGTAGCCATCCTTAGAGAAACAGAATGGCTGG